ACATCTATTCCATTCCCCACACGCCTTCGGATATTATCTTTTAAAGTATTTAGTCTAAAAATGCTTCTCCATATAAACAAAGGATTATTACCCATTTTTGCATCAAGAAAAGAAGAATTAGGGAAATACTTAGCTTTAATTACACGGCTCATCAAGCTCTGGCCCTCAGTAATAAGGCGTCACCCCTGCTTAGCCAACATAGCTAAATTAAATTCCCGAATTTTCCGAAATCCTAAACCCCTAGCTTCCTTCGACTTACACATAGCTTCTCATCTCCTCTACCTTAAACCTTTGTGCTGAAACTTGGACCCTCTCCACCAGAACCCATTCATTAGTTTCTCAATCTCATCACATAAGTCCTTCGGAAGAAGAAATTCATTCATAGCATAGTCAGGCATAGCCTGAACAACATTCCTCAGCAACACAGCTCAGTCGACTCTAGAAAGAAAACAGTTGTTCCAGCTTTTAATTCTGTTAAAAACACGGTCCCTCAAATACCCCAATATGGTGAACTTGTTCTTCCCCACCAACGCCAGCAGCCCTAAACACACTCATTGTTAGTTGCCTTGAAAAAAAATAAAGCAATCATCCTCAAATAACATGTGAGACACTCTTGGGGCTCCCCTACAAACCGGGATGCCATGAACATCCCCCCTTTGTTCAGCCCTCTACAGCATAGCACTTAATCCTTCCGCTACTAAGATAAACAGATAAGGTGATAGCGGGTCCCCCTGACGAAGCCCTCTTCTCAGCGTGATAGGCCCTAATAATCCTTATCAAAATGGATATAATAGCTGACAGTGGTTACACAAACCATAACAATCTCCACCCATCTGGTATAAAAGCCCATACAGAGCATTATTTCTTTCAAAAAATCCCAGCTAACCCTGTCATAAGCTTTACTCATATCCAACTTTAGAGCCACAAACCCCTCCGTTCCAGAACACTTACGTTTCAAATAATGTTGAGTTTCAAAAGCCACAATTATATTATCCAGAATAGATCTCCCAGGAATAAATGCACTCTGGTTCTCCGATCCCCCACTAAACCATTCAATATTCCTTTCAATCTATTTGCAATAACTTTTGAAAAGATCTTGTAAACCACATTACATAAAGCAATAAGCCTCCAATCTCCCATATTTTTAGGCTTATCTTTTTTAGGAATTAAAACAATATTAGTAATATTTAATACCTTAGGCGAAACCCCTGACTAAAAAATACCTGAACACAAACGAACCACCTCTGCTCCCACCACATCCCAAATTTTTTGGAAAAAGCCGGATTCATCCCATCTGAACCTGGTGCCTTATCCGGATGCATCTAAAAAATAGTTTCCTTGACCTCCTCCAGGCTAATTGGTTTTAACAAAATTTCGTTCTGCGTGCCAAATAACTGTGCAAAATTCCTCATGCCCCCACATCACCCTCCTTGGCTCCCTCATGGAATAGGGTATCAAAATAATCCTTCACCATATCCTCCAATTTCCTCCTGTCCGTCACCCATGAACCATCAGCAACCCGCAACCCCTGTAATTTATTCCTCCTTCGTCGCTGTTTAACCACAATATGGAAAAATCGAGAATTAATATCTCCTTCCTTTAACCAGAATACTTCGCCCTCTGCTTCCAATATAAGTGTTCCTTCTCCATAAGCGTCTGAACAACCGATTTAACTCGAAGGAATTCCCCTGTGCTCCAACTATCCGTTCGCCCCCCACAAACTAGCTAGCTTTTTCTTACACGCCTGGATTTGGTGTCGGAATCCTTTTGGCCTACATCTGTCCCACCTTAACAATTCCTTTCTGCAAAAAATAATACATTACTCACTGATAAAATTTTTCCTGCGTTCCAGCTACTCAACACCACCGACCTGCATTCATCCTCCCGCAACCACATGTTCTCAAACTTAAATCTTCTCGGCCTCCGACCATGAATAATCGAACATATCTTCACGCAGAGAGCCATGTGATCACTAACTGAGGCTTCATTCGAGGCTGCCTGAGCTTCCATGAAGCTATTCCACCGATCATCGTTAACCAGAATACAATCTAATTTTTCCTCTTCCCAATATGTTGTTCCTTTTCCCCGAACCCAGTCCACTGATACCCTTGGAATGGAAAATCACACAAACCGCTGCCAATCACTCCTTCTCGAAAGCCCCTCATCCTCCAACCGGGATGAGGAATTCTGCCTTTCTTCTCAGACTCGTACAGAATGCCATTAAAATCCCCAATTATCATCCAAGCTAGGTTATTATTCTCCGCCAATCCTCGCAACATATCCCACGCCCCTCGTCGCCGTCTTGTCTCCGGGTAAGCGTAATAGCACGTCAGCTGCCGCAGAGTCTCACCAGTTGATAGTCGCACCACGCAGTCCACACCACATAGTTTAGGGTCTCCATCGTAATAGACACCTCAACCTCATCATTCCATCTCAACGCCAGCCCACCACTGTTACCATCATTATTTACCCCCACGAATTGTGGAAACCCCTAAGTTCGCAACAAATCCTTAGCTCGCTGGCAATGTGTTACGTTTTTGTTTCCATAAGGAAGATTATGTTCGGTCTATGAGTTTGAACGATATCCGCCACGCCCTGAGTCGTAGCCAAGTTCGCTATTCCTCTGCAATTCCAACTTACTAGACTCATGTCTAACCATGACAAACACCGGGCCCTGTGATCGAAAACCACTAAAATACGTGAGATTAATTTAAGAGGATTAATAGTACTACTCATACAAATAGAGGTGCATCTCCTTTTAAGGGAACTCGACACCCAAGAACGTCAATGTTAAGCGTGCTTGCACTGGAGAAGTCTTGAGATGGGTGACCCCCTCGGAAGTTTCTCAGGACGTGCAATGAGTGAGGACAAAGTGCATGGTAAAGGCTCGTGGTGATTTGTGGGGACAGTAATAGAGGTCTGGAGTAACTACCCTGGGATTTACGGGGCCGGGGTGTTACAGGTGGTATCAGAGCAACCCTGCGACAGTGTGCTGACCCGTTGGATATCGGGCAGTCACTTAGCGAGGCAAGATTCTGGGGTTTGATTGAGATTGGTTTAAGGGCGCAACGAGGACGTTGCGATCCTAAGTGGGGGTGATTGTAATACCCGAGATTAATTTAATAGGATTAATAGTATTACTCATACAAACAGAGGTGCATCTCCTTTTAAGGGAACTCATCACCCAAGAACTTCAATGTTAAGCGTGCTTGCACTGGAGTAGTCTTGGGATGGGTGACCCCCTAGGAAGTTTCTCAGGGTGCGCATGAGTGAGGAAAAAGTGTGCGGTAAAGGCTCGTAGTGGTTTGTGGGGACAGTACTAAAGGTCTGGAGTAACTACCCCGGGTTTTACGGGGTCGGGGTGTTACAACCACCACCGGAAAGCAACCTAGGCGAAACCCTAGAGACGACCACCTTTTTAGTTATATGGAATTAATTAATGTGCAAGGACTAGCGTTTCCTACGAGACGGAGGTAGTAATTAATAGGCATGTTACTTCACATGTAAATAATTAATTGATTTTGTATTTTAGTTCCTTTATATTTACTTAATGCATTTATTTAATGTACTTCATATATACTTAATTAGTTGACCTTATCACTACTAAATTGATAATACATACAAAATGACATTATTTAATTTTATTTTAGAAATAAAAACTTAAATATATTCTATTTTAATGTTCCACATTGAGGGCGGCGGCAGAATACCCTCTCACAAATAGGGTTTGTCACTTTTGCCGATTTCTTATTCGTGTGGTGCTTTCATTTTTACTTTAATTATTTTGATTTTGTATTTATTTCTAACATTAACGCCAACGAGATAGATATGTGACGAGCATGCTTCGTGAGTAGAGGCTCATTCTATGCACTGGGTTTCTAAGTAGTTAAATCGTCACTCGTTAGCAAGTCGGTCAAGGGCCGAGTATCTAGTAGGACCTAGTGCTCGGAATTACTCAGTGACTATTCTATCCTATATTAATTAATTTTAAAAATAAAAATCTCAAAATTATATATAGTAATATATTATTATTAGGGAAAACAGTCAATTACACCCTTGTACTATGGGCGAACCCTCAATTGAGCCCTCCTACTTTGATAACCTTCAATTGAATCCGCCAAGTCTCCAAAATCAATCAATTAGGTCTACATTACCGGTTGGTTCCCGGTTTGCCCGTTGCTTGCCTTCCTGGCGCTGACGTGGACTTTGCCTATCGGTCTTTCAGTGCTGACTCACTTAAATCATTTTACTTCCACTATCCACACCGTGCCCTAACCTTCATTGACGACCTTAATTCGAAGCTCTGCGAGAAGATAAGCAACATAGCACTCCTCGATGCTGGTCATCCACTTCTCACCGTCCACATGAAGAAGACAAACGCCAGGTTAGTTTATAGTTGTAAGTCCACCGTATTTACATGAGGTTGGTGATTTGTGTTCGTATTTGTCGCATGAATGTTGCTATTTTGATGATATTATTACGTGAAGCGATAGTCATTTGCACTTTAGAAACGTTCGTTTGGGTCATTGTTCTTTATCTAATAAAAATTTACACATTCCCAAATCTGATTTCAATATTTTCATATGTACAACATGTTTGACAAGGTTGAACTAATAATTCACCATGGAGGAAATTTGAAGTCTATTCCTGAGATAATATACGTAGGTGGTGCAGTTGATGTCTTACCAATTGACCCATATTTGATTTGCTATCCTCATTTAATGAAGTGCCTAAAAACGGGTAGTTATGGTAACATTAAGGCTCTGTATTACAAAAAACCAAGGCAGAGTATGAAATCTTTAAGACACTTGTCTGATGATAAGTCAACCCTTCATCTCATACATCAGGCTACTAGTTGGGGACAGTGTGACATATTTGTGGAACATGGCTTAGATGAGGTGGAATTGGTTGAACTTCTGTCTGCACCTGAAGCATCTCAACCTGAAGTTGATGTGACTAGAGTGGAGGCCCCAAGCAAAGAGGTTGTTGCTGAACATGAGGGTGTTCATATACATACACATGAAGGTTAAATATCTTCATAACTGCTTACATGTTGTCCATTAATGTATATGATATGACTTGGTTATTTTTTTTGTAGGGCGTGGCTAATGCAATTACCAGAGTCTTCCCTAACTCTGAGCACAGGAACTGTGCACGCCATATTAATGGTAATTGGAGCAAAGCACATCGAGAGATGAATATGAAGAAGTTGTTTTGGCAGTGTGCGAAATCAACATGTGAACCTCAGTTGGAAGCTAATTTAGCTGAGCTAGATTAGGCTGATGCTCAAGCAGGTATTGACTTACGCAAACACCCATTCAAGTTATGGTGTAAAGCTTTCTTTAGGGATGCAGTGAAGTGTGACACAGTTGAGAACAACCTGTCTGAGGCCTTCAATAGCACACTTCTAAAAGCAAGATCCAAGCCTTTGATCCCAATGCTTGAGGACATTCGTGTTGCAACAATGAAAAGGATAGCCAAGAAGAGAAAATATGTTCTGAAATGGCCAGGTCTGGTTACACAGTAATATGTACTATTGATTATTCTATTTGATTATCAAATCTTATTAAGCATTTTTGTTTTCCAAATCTTATGTAGGTTCATTTGGTCCAATAATAATGAAGAAGCTGAATACTAATATTCTAGCAAGTCAAGGATGGAATGTGGATTTCAATGGTGATGATGGATATGAAATCAAGAAAGGAAGAGGGCAATTCAAAGTCAGTCTTAAGAAGAGATCATGTTCTTGTAGAAGGTGGGATCTCAGTGGTATCCCTTGTGCCCATGCCATTTGTGCCATCTATGACAAGGGGGAGGAGGCAGAAGCATACGTTGACCACTGTTACAGTAAGGAGATGTACCAGAAAACTTACTCCTACACATTGCATCCTATCAATGGGGAGCTGTTATGGCCTAGAACCCAGCATGAAGAGATCTTACCTCCTTTTCCAAAGAAGATGAGTGGCAGACCCAAAAAGAAGCGTGTAAGGGAACAAAGTGAAGCACGTCCACCCAGTTCTTCACAACTCTCAAGAAAAGGGCGCATCATGACTTGCTCATTGTGCTGAGGAGAAGGCCACAACAAGAAATCATGTTCTACTACTGCAGGTACAGTGACTCCAAGTGCAAGAGGCAGACGCCCAAGAGGAGGAAGAGGGAAGAGGGGGGCTATACAAGCAGAAGGCAATCAGGGTTTGGTGTGTATGTCGATGAAGCTACTGGTGAAACCATTCTGGAAGTAAGTTCACACCTTACTTGTATGTTTAATTCATTTCAATTTGTGGCAATGATGTTTTCTCATTTTGCTTTGTATGTTATATGCAACCTGGCCAGCCTGGAGAGACAATGATTGGAGAACAATAGGAGGGATTGCTTTAATGAACATTTATGGAAGTAGTTTTTTGTCATTAGGTGGATGTAATGATAATGTACTATATTGGGATTGCTTTGGTGTATGGATGTAGGGCCGAGGTTCAAACTACCTTTTTTTGTGATGACCATTGATGGGGTCATTTATTGCATTATTGTAGTTCAACGGGTACTATGCATTATTGCTGAAGAAAGATTGCTTTTGAACTATTTCATGGGGGCACTACATTATTGGCAGTAATATATGTCAGTTCTTGAATTTCATGGGTGTATATTTTGAAGTTTTAATACTACACATATTCTAAGTGTATACATGTATATGAAATGCCACACAACATACACAATGAATACATTCCAGGAATCTAGATTCTTGACAATACAAAAGTACCTAAAATGAAAACGTGTGGTGAACTTGTTCAAACATAGATACCATATGACACTACATTCCACTTTCTATGACAATAAACTGGTGGTGAACTTTTTCAAACATAGATACCATTACATCCAACACAATTCAACTATGATAGCTTGAATACATATTTGTTGCAAAGCACAGAAATACAGCCAACCCTATGACAACGAGCTTCCTGCACCTCTTTCTGGCCTTAACCTCATTCTCAAGAACGGTTTTTATAGTGGTTACATCTGCTTGAACATGGCTTAAGCGTTGGACAGCACCTTCAACCATGGTCTTTACTTCATCAAACTTATCTCTCTTTTGCCCAGGCCTGATCATGTCTTCTCTTCCTATGTCATCCTTCCACAAGAAGTAGCCGCACCCTTCTCCCTGTTGACAATACGAACACACCTATTATCACACGAACAGGTTCTTCAAATTCAAAATCACTACCAATACAAGATTTGTTCAAAACATAACATGCACAGCCTACAGTATTATATATGCACATCAAATGAAAAAATGTAAATTCTTTCGACGTTTTACCAGCCAATTTTGACACCCATAGAATTGTCTTCCGCTCTCCCTTCCCACGCACAGCGGCGCTTTCAATCCACACCAACAGTACACTGCAGGCTCGTAATTTGTAGTGTTTCTTCGCTCTTTTGTACTCGTTGTTGTAGACGAGGAGGCCATTGTTGGTCACGAGGTCGACGGTGAGAAGTGGATGACCAGCGTCGAGGAGTGCTATGTCGCAGAGCTTCGAATTGAGGTCGTGAATTAGGGCACGGTGTGGTGTTGATTGGGGGTGGATAGTGGAAGTAAAATGATTTAAGTGAGTCAGCACTGAAAGACCGATAGGCAAAGTCCACGTCAGCGCCAGGAAGGCAAGGAACGGGCAAATCGGGAACCAACCGGTAATGTAGACCTAATTGATTGATTTTGGAGACTTGGCGGATTCAATTGAAGGTTATCAAAGTAGGAGGACTCAATTGAGGGTTCGCCCATAGTACGAGGGTGTAATTGACAGTTTTCCCTTATTATTATAATTCCTAGATATGACAAAAATCTAATGAAGAAGAAAAGAGAAAGAAGATAGAGCCATAGATGAGAATATCTTACCTAGAGATGATGATGAACAACTATTGGAATGAGTAGAAGTATGCATTTTTTTGAGCCTAGACATTATAAGGATAGTTTACAATTTTTAAAAATACTCATTATATTATTTATAAATTCCATAATATTCCTCTTTAATAAAACTTTTCAGATTTAACAAAAAAAACAAAATATTTATTCTTTGTCGAGTAACTCACCGAGTTGATAACTTCCTCTAATTGAGAAACTCACCGAGTACTCGCCGAGTAACTCAGAAATAATATACGAAATGAGTCATGTAGTTAATTGGTAAGGCCACCACTCGAGATGCGAGTACTCGGTGAGTACTCACCCAATAGATAATCCAAGTAGTTTACGCGTGATCGGAAGTTTCTCATGGCAGCAATTATCAAATAGATAATCAACACGATTTGGCACAACAATATGGGCATTTAGGTTTGGGTTACAATGAGGAAGGATCATCCTGCCTGGCGCGAGTGATGAAGATGGACAAGAGAGGGGACTACCCGAATGGTCTTTGGTCGACACTGCAAAACCGAAAAGACGATGAAATTCATGGTATTTAGAGATGTGTTGACCTCTATTTGGAGACCTATAAGAGGGGTCTCGATCTAGGAAATCGGCTATAAAAGATAACTTTTATCATTCAATAATGAAACTGATATGAGGCATGCTCTTGAATATTGTCCTTAGTTATACGACCAAAATTATCATGTGATATTCCATGAATTAAAAGTTGTTGAATTGCCTCTCAAAGTTCCATTATGTTTTTCGGACTTTTCAATTCAAGTGCATAGTTTGCCAGTGGTTACTTGACCTTAAAGGTGGCAAAAGCTATTGGAAAACCTCTAAGAAAATTATCAATCTAGATGAAAATCATTTTGAGGGACGTCTGTGGCTTATTTGAGAATCCATGTTTGCTTGGATATAGGAAAACTTTTCAAAACAAATATGAAGGTTCAGAAAAGTAATGGGAATTGGGTATGTAACACCCCGACTCTTGCGAGGTTCAAGGTAGTTACCCCTAAATGTGATCCAGATCCGATAATGTCATCCCAAATCAACACGAGCCTTCTCACAACACATTTTGTCCTCGCTCGTGCATAGGGGAGAGCACGGGTCGGGTTCGAGCGGGTCGGGTTTGCGGACACCAAACCCGTTCAGATTTTATAATGTACATCTTGAACCCAACCCACTGAGTTTGGATGTCGGGTTTTTCGGATATTAGAATACCAGTTATTTTCGGATATTGATCGTATATCGGTTACTTCGGTTATAGTTAAAATACATTAAAATTGCATAATTACAAACTGTCAAAGTACACAATTACAATTAAAAACAGAACTTGGTACTCCAACTCCATAAGTTGTTACTTGCAGACTTGCAGTTGCATAATTACAAACTACATACTTAAATTACAAAGCAAGCACAAAATCAGTAAATAGACACTAGTTAGCAAAAAATGTAAGGTTATCTCCAAAGTTTACAAAGAATAGCAAAACCATAGTTACAAGGTTGTGAAACCACTTTCCAGTTTCCACTAGACCACTACTCCAAGTCTACTCAACTCCATAAGTTGCAATTTGCTTTTACATATCAATCTTGCACAAGTAATAAATCACAATTCAAATATCATAAATCAATAAATGCATAATTACAATTCACAAAGTTATTAAATATTGGTTTAGATTGCTTCTTTTCAATTCAAAACACCATGGAGGCATCCAAAATACTTAGTGCTAGGTTTCAAGTCATCTAAAGATACACTCTTAAGAGGCCAAATCCAATTTAACCTTAACTAAATTTAATACCAACCCAATCTGATTTCAGTATATGGTGGAAGCTTTCATCAGTTTAATTAGAAAACACAATGAGAGACAAAAGTAAAGGAAGAAGCACTTGTTCTGGAAAACATAGGGGCAAAAGAATAGCACCAGAAATGCAAAAACCGAATAGGGGTTGTGGGCACTGGAAAACATCCAACAGGAACACTTCCAACACCTACTGGACCACAGTTAGTCACCATGCCAAATGAGCATCAGAAACAACTCATGTATTAAAACATATTGGTAAAAAAATGTAAGGTTATAATAAATAAGTAAACTGTAAACCATTAAGTTCACAGGTGTAGGATCCACAGAAGATCCAGAGGCATGTGCAGAAGCATTATAGGTCCCATCTATTAACTCTAAAAAAGAAAAGAACAATGTCAAATTTACATATTAACAAATATAAACATTAATTTAACAGTATAAATGAAATTAACCTAACCTGCTTCCAGCCTCTCAACTTCATCAATATTTTCCTCAATTGATAGATGCTGGTTGTGCATTCTCATCCAATCTTGAGTACAAATTAAGGCTTCCACTATTTTAGGAGTCAAAGAGCTTCTAAAACAATCTAAAACTCTACCACTAGTACTGAAAGTGGATTCAGAAGCAAATGTGGAGATGGGAACAATAAGAATATCTCTAGCCATTTTAGACAGTATAGGGAATCTCTGACTGTTTAATTTTCACCATCTTAAGATATCAAACTCTTTATCTTCCTCAACAGTAGCCTCACTCAAATAAATTTCAACCTCGTTTTTTTAAAGCCCAACTGCCCACTCTCTAGTTTACGTTTTTCAATTGTGCTTTGAATTTGGAGACTTGTTTGGCAAACTCAACCTCAATGATCAGTAAAGTAGCAGGAGTTGAGCTTGATTCTGAGCTTCCACCAACACTTTTTTTGTAACTAGTGGCATAATCAGCAAACAACTCAGATAGAGTAAGTTTGATACTTGCAAAGAATTTCTCACCCTTCTTTTCAGTATACAAAGCATTGAATTGAAAGGGCGTGTATTCAAACTTGTCCCTAGGGTCAAGAACATTTGCAAAGAATATCAGACAGTTCATCTTTTCATGATCACCCCAGTACTTATCTAATTTGGATTTCATAGTACTTCCCATGCTGCTTGTAGAAGGCTTGTCTGACTTGATCAAGTCTTGAAGGACCAGAAACAGATCAGACACTTCT